GTGAGTTTGAGGCCAGCCTGGGATACAGAGTGAGTTCCAGGAAAGGCGCAAAGCTACACAGAGAAACCCTGTCTCAAAAAAACCAAAAAAAAAAAAAAATGCTTGGCATATAGGAAAAAAAGTCAGCTGGGAGGTGGTGGTGGTGGTGGCACATGCCTTTAATCCCAGTGCTCAAGAAGCAGAGGCAGGCAGATCTCTGAGTTCAAGGCCACACTGGTCTATAGAGTGAGTTCCAGGACAGCCAAGGCTACACAAAGAATCCCTGTCTCCAAAAAAAAGTCAAAAGCAAATACTAGAAAAATCAAATACTGGGGAAGAGCTCTGGCCTTAAACATCTCAACTGAAATCCAAGCAGAAAAAGATGTCACCTTTTTTTTAAAAGCAATGTAAATTCATTTTTAAATGAATTTTGAAAAAATATGAATTTGTTTGAAAAATGAATTCTAGATTAATTCAGTTGTGTTGGGGGGTACTTTTGGGGTAAGACTACAAAATAAAGTGATTTTTATGAAAATGTTTTTTAAAAATCTAATGATCATATTGTAAATGTAAAAATAGAGGTCCAGGTGATTTTTTTTTCCATAATCACACCAAAATAAACGTCTGGCCTTTGAAGCCAACATGATGGTATTTCTCATTTGAGCCTCTGGAAACCGACTAAATAAATCTGAATTAACTCAACCCAAACAATACATAGGCTATCTAATTTTGGGTTTTTAGTTCCGAAAACGGGAGAGGATGCTTAGGACAGGGAACTCCTCTAAAGCTCCTCATATGATATTTGCCCTAAAAAGTAAACACAGGAAAGAGAAGTTGAAATTTATTGATTATCCCGTAAGGTTGACTAGACTGAATTTATCACAGCTTCTGGTGGATTGAGTAACTCTGGATTGGAAAACTGAGGTAAATCACTTGTCCAAAGACACCTGTAATAAAGGACAAGCCAGATTTTGAAACTTGATGTGGCAAAAAAATCACAACTCGTGATCTTTTTTACTACACTGTTTTCCCAGAGTTGTATAATCACAGGAGTCATCCAAGATGCCCTTTAAAAAAAATACTAAGCCATGGAGCTTCTGAAAAATCTGATTTTGTTTCTGTGTGGAGGAAGGCCAAATATTTTATTTTATTTTGTATTGTGTTTGTGTTACTAGAAACTGAATGCAGGGCCTCACAGATACTAGGCAAGCAGTCTGCTTACTACTGTAAGTTACCATAAAACTTAACCAATTCTGGTCATTGTGCAGGGATTGGAAACCTGCCGTCTATTAAAAAGAAGTAGGGCTTGGGAGACAGAAATAGAATTAGGAATCTTCATAGGAGTTATTTAAAAAGTTGGCACTACACCAGTTTCTCTGCTAGTAAAATACTGTAAGATTGGATTGTGGAAATTATAAGATTGCATTAGAGTCCTTAATCTGTAAAGAAACCCCATATTTTATTTTTCTTTTAGGTGACAACAGCTGTTCCATCCATTCTTTGGCATTATCCTTCTTTACAATAGGGAGCAATGCACTACTGATAGATACAGATAAAACTATTCTGGATACAGATGAAAGAATTACACTTAGAAAGAAAATATAAAATAGCTATAAGCACAGAATTGGTAACTTCCTCAAGTGCAATACAAAACAAAAAATCGTAAATAATCAATCTAAAGCTTAATTTTTAAAATCAAAGGATTATAACATTTTCAAGCTGAGGGAGCTCTCAGACTTAGGGGCTTACCCACAGTGGCAGACTCTCAAATCTAAACTGACCAAAGTTCCATAGAACTCTGAGGATTATAGCTAAGTACCTTTTCCAAGATCACGCTGGTTTTTAGAAATGGACAGCAAATCATGTTTACTTTTGATTCCTTACTTTATCTAGTTTTATGTTACTTTCCATTTTTTCATGGCCCTATTGAGAATAGACTATAGAAACTCTTCTTAGGCGATAATATGATTTGAAATGTATTCAACCAATGAACTGTTAGAAAAATGAACCATGCCCTTATTAGAATAATGTGTTTACAAAGTGATTATTTTCAGAACATGTTGTATAAAAGAACTCTGGTTTTCCCCACTTTTGATATAAAATTTTGTATTATGCAAAAAAATAAATAAGCATGCCTGGATGTCAATTCTAGCAGTGTTACAGCAGTATTTCTGTCTAAGTGCACTTAATGGGTACTTTGCATTTTGATTTTGCTTCACTTATTTTACTTACAAAATGTAGCTGTGATCTTGAACAAAGTACTCTCAACCTCCCTTCATCTCTACTATACATAACATCTACCTCCTGATTTATTAATAATTGCAAACAAATGATAGAATATGTAACATATGGAAGGAGAAATTGAGTTCCCACAGTCGTCCATTGACCTCCATGCATATGCTTGGCATGTGCATGCAGACATGCACACACGCACACATGCACACACGCACACACGCACGCACATATACAAAATAAAAAAGAATTTTAGAGGCTAGATACAGCTCAGAGGACCCCAGTTCAGTTCCCAGCACACATTGTTAGTGTGCTCACAATCTCCTGTAACTCCAGCTTATAAAGAAAATAATTACAAAATAAAAAATATTAAATATTTTTTAATTTATTTTATGGCTTAGAACACAGTTTTTAATAGGTACTTGAATCCTTAATCTTTTTTAATACTTTATTTTATTCTAAAATATAGTATTTACCTATCCTAGTATAAATTATAATAATTTGTCCTTATTCTGTTTTTATGTTAGTTGATAGTCATGTGTTAAAGTTTTCATATCGCCCTTGTTTCCATTTATTTCATGTTATAGTCCTAATGCATGTGCTTTTGTGTTGTGGTTTGTTTAGTCTGTGGCTAAATGTTCAGTACTTTTACACACTGATTATTTTTGTATCTAAAAAAATAGCACATGCTAATTATATAAAACCTGGAAAATAAATATACATAAAGGAATTATATATCTGTACTCTTGCTATAATGGAGCATTATTAAAATATTATTTGTGATTAAAGAAAAGGGTTATATTTAGATTTGAGTCTAAATGTGGTCCCTACTTTTATCCTTGGACAGGTTAATGTACTTTTTCATGTGTTCACCAAGTATTTATTGAGCATGTACTATGTGCCAGGCATTTTGCTGAGAGTATACCAAAAAATATTGACAAATCCATCTTGGCTTAATTTTTTCATCTGTAAAATTGGTGACAATGTCTCTTGAAATTGGTAGAATCATCAGAGATAATAACACTTAGTATTTGCCTAGTGGTCAAGAGCTCAGTAATTGATAGTAACCATTATTACTATGCATTCAGTACTGGTATCTTTAGTCCAAATGACCTTTGTGATCACCTTAAAGGTTCTTTGTCTTAGATTTTATGTTTAGTGTTAATATTACAAACACTTGCTTCCAGTTTTTTTTTAAAAAGTGTACATTAATTATACAATGAAGAGCTTGGAGATGACATAGTTAAGTGTTAAAACATTTGCTTAACATGAATGAAGGCCTGGGTTCAATTCCCAGAACTGCAAAAGTTAGTTGTGTGCTTTCTTCTTCTATATGGTTTTCTATACTTGCCTCTTTTGTCAGTAAGTAATGGATTTTTTTCCTTCTTAAAAAATATAAGCCTACTGAAAGTTTTTAGTGTGAAGCATTTTACACACAGAACAGTGAAAGTAGCATAAACAAGCACCATTTTCTAAGATTGAAGTCTCAAAAGTTACCAATTCATGACCTGCTATTTTATCCCTACTGCTTCCCCTCCCACACACTACCCTACCCATACTTCCTTGCCCCATCTCCAGTGAATAATTCTGAAGCTAATCCTAGATGAGTCAAGTCCAGTGTAAATAAGGAGGATTGCAAGTACAAAGCTTGCCCAAGCTGTAGAATGGGTTCAAGTCCAGGTCTGGCAACTTAGTGAGACCCTGTCTCCAAACAGAAGAGAACTACAGATACAGCCTAGTGGTAGAATATTTGTCTAGCTTGTGTGAGGTCCTGGGTACTGCCTCTAGCAGTTCAAACAAAAGGCTACAAGGGCATCAAATACTAGTCACTTTGTTTTAATTAGACACTTCTTATACCACCTGCAAAATGGTTGTTTGTCATTTTGTTATTCCCTTGAGAATTTTTTCTTCTGCCATATGGAATGCTTTCTTTGAGACAATTGTGAAAGATAGAAGAAAGACTTACTGAGCTGAAAAGACCTGGGTTTGAGTCCTGTTTCTGCCGTTCACTAATTTATTTGCCAAACTCTGGTTTCTTCAGCTGTGAAATACAAGTAATTAATATTTACCTCATATTTTTAGGGTTGAATATGATGTCTGCCTAAAGGACTATCAAATCAGATGTATCAGCCACATAGCGCATTCTTTAGTGGTTCAGACTGTAATATCTATTTTTTATTATTGTGTGGTTTTCCAAAATATCCGAAACTTAACAGATACAAACTAAATATAATGGTTGTTAAATATACTTTTAGGAAGGATGGAGAATTAATTTTTTCTTCTCCTCCTACCTCTTTTGAATCGATATTAATTTAGTCCAAGGTTATAAATCTCAACTCTATAAAATAATTTTTCTTTTACATTGTTTATATACTTATAGCAATAATTATTCATTTTTTTCTACATTATCCTTTACTAGGGTTAAATTAGTCAATTATTCCTGGATATTAACTTGGTGTCTATAGACGTTACTTCTTCTCATATTCTTGAGCTCTTTATTCTCCTGATGGTTTTCTAGAGTGTGCCTTTGAACAGTTTATTTTTAAAAGATGCTACCAAGATGGTGACATTTCATAAGACTTTGCAGATGTAAGAATAATTTTCTATGACCTTTGAACTTGAAAAACTAGGGTGAGGTATGAAATCCTTAGATCTTAACTGTTTCCTTTTAACTCTCTGTAGGTCATTACTTCATCGTCTTCTGGCATTTTGTTGTGAGGAAAAATCTGAGGTCAATTTGATTTTAGTGCCTTTGAAATAACCTATTTTTTCTGCTTGTATGCTTATAGGATTATATCTTTATCCTTGAAATTTAAAAACATTTACCAGGACATGTCTTGGTGTTGATGATCTCTGTTGAACCTTCTCAGTCTGCAGTCTCAGGTATTTTTTTCAGAACTGGAAAGTTTTCTTATACTTTTGATTGATTAATCTGCTCTGTTTTTTCTTAGGAACATTTGTTATTCATAGATTATTTCTGTCTGTCTTCCATAGTTTTTAAATCCTTTCTTTCTTTCTTTCTTTCTTTCTTTTTTTTCATTTACTCAAGTTTGTCCTTTGTGGCATGGATTCTGTTTTCTGCAGTGTGTGTTCTGATATTTGCTATTCACAATACAGACTTAATTTTCGCTACTGTGTTTTCATTTCTTTATTCCCAACATAACTTGTTTCATAAACAGAATTTCCCTTAAGGGTACACTTCAAAAAACATGAGGTGGATCTAGGCCTAAACCTTATTTTCTGAGGCCACAACTACAGGACCAAGGGAAAAAAAAACCAAATAAAAACTTAAGAAAGGACCCTCATAAACTTAAAAGTAGAGATACAAACAGAGGTCATACCTACCTAGTCTAGAAAATAGAGCAGTCCTGGGTACCAGCAAATTTTTGGTAGCAAGAGAGCCAATAAAGCAGGCATAACAGCACTGTAACAAGAAGATAAACCAATTTTTCTAATTACATTTATTGCCTTTTCTCTTTAAAAATACATAATAAATGCATATAATTTTGAAAAGACAGTACCACGAAGAAAATCCTATGGCCCAGGTAACCGCTGATAAGATTTTATGTTTTGCTAGTTACATGCTCCCATGTTGGGAGGGAGGGTACAGAATTGGGATCATACTTACAGCTTTATATCCTCTTAAATGTAATATATTGCAGGCATATTTTGCATCATTAATTTTTCATTAGGCCCTGATTTTAACCATTGCATAGTGTTCCTACATATGAATAGATGTATTGTGATTTATTTAATCAGTCCCCTGTTGGTCATTTAGATTGTTTTCTATTTTAAAGTATAATGAATATCACTGTACATAAGTCTTTATGCACATCTCTGATATTTCCTTAGGATAAATGAGGAGCTGATTCTTAATCCTGTCACATTGGTAAGGATTATATACATTCCTTATTAAGACTATAAAATGCTTGTTTCTTATTGTTTCAATGTGATTGCATAGAAGCTTCTTTGGATTCTGAACAATACAATGGTATCTTGACCAAAGTTGGAAAGAGGTTTCTGCTGCCTCATGTACAGCACCTTTATGATGAAACTTCTGCTACCTACACTTTCAACAGGAAAACCACTGCTAGGATCAGGGAGTTTGGAAGGCAGATATACTTGTGGAAATGTGAGGGTGTTTTGTTTTGGGGCTGCTGTTTTCTTAAGTGTGGTCCTTGCTCCTTCCTGCAACTTGGGTCTCTGTATTAATATGCTGTGGCTTCAGACCCTTTTCTTCTTCCTTTCCTATTACTTTAGATTGTTATTCTCTATGAGTAATCCTTTTCTCCCAGTGTTCTTAGGTACATTTCACTTCTAGGTAAGAGAGTGTAAGTAGTTGGTATGTCCCACAAAGGTAAAGGTCAAATTTCATCCATCACAGATCACTTCTTAGTCCTCATGCACTTCTTCCAGATGATCTCCTGTAGAAAGTCAAAGAATTTTTTAAAACTTACCTTATATTTTTTCCAAAGACCAGGCAACACCCCTGGGACTATATGGTATAACAGGTATTGCAACACAGTAATCTCCATAGTAGGGTTGCTGAGAGTGAAACATTCTTAAGAAAGTAGTCTTATTTGTAACATATCAGCATTTCCCTTAAAATATTTTGGAATACGTTAGAGGTATTGAAACTTCAGTTTAGAATTACTGATTGAATTGCCCATCACACCTCAAAGACAGTCTTTATTGATCCCTGTATATAACATTGAAAGTTGTTTTGAAAACAACTCCTGCTGAAACAGTCTCCTTTATCTGATTTGTTCTGATCAGACCCGTATTGTAGGTTAATCAAATTTGTGACTTTTTATACATTTCAAAGTAACAAAGTAAAGCATGATTAGCATTTCCTAACCTTTTCCAATATTTCACATCATATTTGCATATGTACAATCTGCCAAGCTCTATGGGTTTTTTGTTTGTTTGTTTGTTCGTTTTTTGTTTTGTTTTGTTTTTGGCTGGCAGGCATTTTGGTAGGATGAGAGAGGAAAAATACATTTGCCTCACTTTAAAACTATTTTTCATACTTATTCTTCAGCCACATTGTACAGAAAAATAGCACACATATGAATGATTTCTCCTATCCTGCTTGGCAGGAAATTGACTGCTGTGAGTGTTGAGAAAGACATCTCTCCTATTCTTTACGGCATAACATCTTTAGAAATTATCTGCAGAAATGCAAACATTTCCTGATCATTTGAGGCAAAAGAGAAAACGTATAGCATTTACTGTCCTGTGATGGACCCTTCTAATTCAATATCCTACAAGATTGGCATATTATATTATACATATCATGTATATTATATTATACATCTTACGAATGGATAAACTGCAGCTTAATTTTTAATTAGCTTACCCAAAGTTCAGGTAACTGTACCAGTATGGGACATGGCCAGGATTTAAAAGTGATACTGACCAACTTCAGTGCACATGTTTGTATTTGTCTTAAAATTAGAGAAATCCGTTTTCTTGTTTAGTAGACCCTATCCCTCTAGCTTTAGAAACTATATTAAGTACTGCATTGAGTCAGACTGGTCATCTGTTTATCCTAGTCTCTAGTGATAGCCAAAGGTCAGTTTTCAAAGGGGAAATAAACTTCTTAACTGCAAACATAACATTACATTCATTTCTAATCATGGTTCGATCCTTATTTTGATGAATGATACCAAAGGTTCATTGAAACAGATTTTTTTTTAGTAGAGAAAAAGGTCTGTGAAGTTGGTATATAGGATAACATTGGCTTTCCTATTTCCCTACTTTAATAATGAAGTTCAAAGTTGAATCTTCCCTAAATTTAGCAAGAAGTGGATTATTTGCCTACACTAGAGAATGGGATACCTTTGGGATCATGTTTCACTTCAGTTGTTTCTTAGAATGTTTATTTTTAATGGTTATTAGCTAAATATTTCAGAAAAGATAATTTATTGTCAAAATTTGTGAGTGATATGAAGCTGAAAATAGTGAAGTAGTTTACAGGTTTTTTATTCCAACAAATAGAAACTGTAGCAATAAGATTATAGGTGGGAAAAGTTGAATCAAAATTTTTTAAGTAAGGCTTTTTCTGTGGGAATAAGTAACAACAGGTTCAAGATGAAAGATGCATTATCTTGGGTATGCCCCAACATATTGCTGGTGCAATAAGTTGTACTGTAAGTAAAAAAGTGGGAATGGGCTCTAGATGGTTCTTCACATAAAGATAGCTTGGAAGCTTGATGACCTTAGTTCAATTCCTAGGACCCACATAGTAGAAGTTGTGAATCCATTTCCTCAGGTTGCCTCTGACCATACACACACTATGGCACATATAACCACCACCACCAAAAGCAAGCTAGATAAATGTTGGGACTAGAGAACTAGATCAGTTAAGAGGACTTTTTCTTGCAGAGGACCCAGGTTCAGTTCCCAGTACCCATGTTAGGTAGCTCACAACTGTCTGTAATTCCAGGGGATGCAACACCTCTGGCCTCCATTGGCACCTGCATGTACCTATGCATACCCACACACAGAGATATAGATACATATAACTAATAAAATAACTATTTAAAAAAAGACAGGGACTGAATCAACAGAAAACTTAGTATGTTGAGGCATATCCAAAATTTTGCAAATGTAAACAGCATCAATGAAAGTTTATTATCTAGGAAAGGGAAGTATATCACCCACGTTTCTGCATTTTTAAAACCAGAGTTGGAATGTTGATTGCATGTGTTTTAATATACTACTCTTTAAAATGAATCAAGAATATGCTCAGCAAATAGGATCATAAGTCTCATCTGTCTTAAATATTTGGAGAAACTTGAGTTATCTATAAAAGATAAGACATGGGCACATTATAAGCATGGATGTAGATTTACTTCTTATGGCTTTACAGGTAATCTAAAGGCAAATTAGTCTTCATTTATTAGTATCTTCTTAAAGTGGAATTTGTGAGTGAGGAAAATTACTGTACAATGAGTAATTGTGTTTAGCAGACAGTATTTTTTCAGAAGCAGTCTAGTAGTGGGCTACCTGATAAGCCTACATCCCACCCACCCCCACCCCCATCCCCCGGCCCTATGCCTGTCCTGGAGCTGCTCTGTAGACCAGGCTGGCCTCAAGCTCACAGAGATCCACCTACCTGGCTCTGCCTCACAAGTGCTGGGATTAAAGGCGTGTGCCACGGCCGCCTGGCAAGCCTACATTCTTATCCTGATAGCATTTGAACATAGGTAAAAACAGGGTGGAAAGAATTTAAATAGATTATATGCAATATGCAGTTGAAACAGAAGACTTTTGAGATGTCTTACTGATTATCAACAGGATTTTATCTTGTCTCATTTTATCCTTATGAAGCTATTTCATCTTAATAGTACTTTACATTGGTACAGTTAACAAAGTGCTTTCTTATGAATCCTTTCAATTTTGAGCTGAATAATAATCTTTTGAGTAGACAGGGCAAATAATCCCTATTTGAACAGAGAAAATGATAGGTTCAGAGAAAGTCCAATTTCCCCAAATCATAAGGCTTCTGAGTGCCTGGTCTCTATGTCAGTACCGCTGGTCTATCAATGCCAAGTTCAGTGCTGTTCCTGTTGTACCAGCTGGCTTTAAAAGTAAAAAAGTGTGGTCGCTGTTTTGCATGCATTGAAACTTACAAGGAACTGGCGGTTCTGAAATTCTGTTCCCAAGGAAAATATAAATGTACCTCCAGTTAGACTAAGAGTTCTAAAATCCAACCATTAGAGAAAGGTAAATATAATTAGATGGTAGCATTCACTAAGAGAGTAGTTACAGGAAAGATAGCAGGTTGGCCAGCCATAGATGAGATGACTGCATCTGGACATAATAAAAAATAACTAATCTGATTATTTACTAAATGCCAAATACTCAGATTAGGTTTTCATGTATTTATCTTTCATCTTTGCAATCCTCTGAATAATACTCTCTAAATTGTTACTTTCTGTGTACAGAAACCAAATCTTATGTGGTTTAAATAACTTGCCCAAGGCTTCATCATTGCTAGTGTGAGAACGAGATTTCGAATCTACATGCTTGCCTCCAACTCAGTATTCTTAACTAATTTAAGGTTTTCTTGGGGTCCCTAGATTGGATTAAAAAAATCAGAAGTCTGTCAAATAAAAGGTTACACTTTTTAGAAGAAAGGCATGTCTTGAAGATAGTTTGGATGCCGTTACCACAAAAATGGGGGTATTGTAGCCTCTGATTTTATTTTACATATGCTCCCCACCCCCACTTTCCTGCATCTTGGCACCAATTTTGTCCTTTGTGTTATTGTATAGACAGCCTCTAACCTAGGCGTGTAGGTGCCCTTTGTTTAAGTCAGTAGACATTTTAGGATGAAAGACATGTTTTCTTTTATCTCCAGGTCACCACCTAGAACATAGCATGAATAAATGAACAAATGAAGAATGAATGAACGAATGATAAATAGAGCTGGGGAGAGCAGAGAGACAGGGATTTAAATTCAGAGAATCTGCCTTATGTGGTATTGTGGGCTGCCTTTTATTACTTCCCCATTTATAATGCTCTAAAAATGGTTAATTTAGATCCTGGTACATTTGTTGAATCAGCAAGGAGCTTTAGAGGGCTTTTGTCCACTGAGGGAATAACAGATGAGTTATTATGAATAATAATATTTCTAAGTTCCATTGTTTTAAGTTTTGTTTTTGTTTCTTTGAGATGTGGGCTTGCTATATCTCAGGCTGGCCTCAAATTTACAGACCTGCCTCAAGATCCCAAGTTCTGGGACTATAGACATGGGTCACCACTCCTTACTGTTTTATTTTTCAATTACACAAATAAAACATGTTATAGATTGTAGATACTATAGATACATTACAAAATTCAAATAAGCAAAATAAAAGTTTAAGTCATCTGAAATTCTGCCATTTGGAGATAGCCACTGTTAACATTTTGATGTATATCCTTCAGAGTGTTTTCCCATACAAATATATACATTAAGACATGTATATATTTGTTTAAAATGGGTTTGTTATAATCCATATTGTTTTGTAAACTGCTTTTTCACTTATTATATGTGACTGTCTTTCCATGTCAATAAATTTACATCTTTATCATTTTAATGACCACATAGTATTCCATTATATGGATATATCATACTATATTTAACTAGTTTTCTATTGTTAGGAATTTAGGTTTCCAATTTGGAGTTCTTTTTGGAAAAAATAATTATGGTGAGCATCTTGTATATACATCTTTGTACACTTGTCTATTTTAAAAGAACTAGAATGGATGGGAAACTAAAATTTTATGTGTGGTATTTGTTTGTTTTTAATAGACTCAAATTGTCTTCCTGAAAGAGTGCTGATTTACACTTTCTCTACCAGTAAACCCAGAATTTTCCCCATGCCCATTGAGTGTTAGTTTCAGGTTTTTGTAAGCTATTACTGATTTGGAAGGCAAAAGGTACCTTTGGGTTAAATGCATTTTTATGACTGGCACTAAGGCTGAATTCTTTTTTCCCTTATTGCTCATTTCTGTTGAGGTTCATCGTTTTTTCTTACAGGTTTGTAAAACAAAGATCTTTATGTATCAAGGATACCAACTTTTTGTCATGTTGCTTTAGTTTTTTGTAATCAGTTTGTCATTTGTAATCCTTTGTGTCTGGTAGAATAACTTTTATGGATGGAAATGTCACTTTTCTCTTTATGATTTATATTCTTGTAACTATTACTCACCCATATTCTAATACTTAGTTTTATTTTTGGCATTTAAATGTTTAGTCCATCTGGAACTTACTTTGATGTGGAGATTGAGCTTAGTTTTCTCCACAATAATTAATCAGTTTTCCTGATTAATTATTAATGGCATTGGAGTTTAGAATATGTTTTGCTGTACAAAGTATTATAAATGATGTTAGGTGAGGCTTGACTAAGACCATTTATAATGCATTTACTTATGAAGCATAAGAGCTCACCTGGAAAGGTAGTCATCGTTTATTAGTTCCATGGAAATATGCTCAGATAGTTTCAAATAATTAAATTACCTATGAACTTGTTCCAAAAGTTGTCCCTGCATTCTTAGATGGTGGTTCTATTTCACTGAAGCTCTTTAGGCATGAAAATATTCTAGATGATGGGTTGATAGTTTTGTTGGTTTATTTTCTTTTTGTCTGTCTTCATACAATTTTGATGAGAAATCTTTTTTGATAACATTCTACTTGCTGTGCTTTTCACAGAATGGACAGCAAATTATGGATGAACCTATGGGAGAGGAGGAGATTAATCCACAAACTGTAAGTAAAATATGTATCACAAAGGACAGAGACAAACCAGATGTTGTAAAATTATTCTTAGTTTTAAACTAAGCAAAGCAATCATTTTATAATATAAGGCACTCGTTGATGCTTTCACATTAGTTTTACTAAAATATGTTGATATGTTTGTTTATTTTTTTTGTCAATAAAACTTTGGGAGTCAGATATTGAGGTAAGAAACTGAATTATCAGGGAAGGGGCGGAGAAGCGACCAGTGACTTTCTATCTCTTTTGTTCCTCCATTCAAAAAGGCCAAGACTCTCTCAGCTCCGCCTTACTACTTTCTGTGTCTATCTGTCCTCAGTTCTCCAAAACCTCTAGAGTTAATTTTGGTCATCGAGTAGCTAGCTCCGCCCTCTGATTCAAAACAAACTTTATTATCAGTCTCAGGAGTGTCAGAATGCAATCAAAATATCACACAACGATATGCCAATGACCCTTCTAACTACTGTTTAAGATTTGTCAGGCGGTGGTGTATGCCTTTAATCCCAGCACTCGGGAGGCAGAGGCAGGCGGATCTCTGTGAGTTTCAAGGCCAGAGTGAGATCCAGGACAGGCACCAAAACTACACAGAGAAACCCTGTCTTGGAAAAAGAAAAAAGATTTGTTTTAAAAGAATGACAAAACTGGGTCTGGTGGCACAGGCCTATAATAAGCTCTCAGGAAATTGAGGCAAAAGAATCACATGTCTGATACCAGCTAGGTTAGTAATAAGACTGTTTCTGTGTGTGTGTGTGTGTGTGTGTGTGTGTGTGTGTGTGTGTGTGTGTGTGTGTGTGTGTGTGTTCATTTATATGGACATACATATTAAGGTCTTACTTTAAAGAAATACTTAACATAGAAAGTGGATTATTTACGATTTCCTCCTTTTTTAATTGTTATTCAATATTGAATCCCCAGCATCTAGAACAAGGCACACATGAAGTACTCATTAAGTATGTATAAATAAATTAGTAAGTTGTTCCCATCTCCATGGGACAGCTGTCCATTGCCAGTAGCTCAGCTATAATTTTGTTATTCTATACATATGACAGTTATTTTGCAACTTGCTCTCTTCACTGACATGTCTTGAACATCTTTTCATAACATACACAGATGTTACCTCTTTTTTAAATGGTTACATCTTTTTACAATGGTTACATGCTATTCTATTCTGTCTGTATCTTTTATTTAATGTAATTTTTCCACTATTTATTTTTATAAACTTATATTTCAGTAGACTACAGAAAAGGTTGCATTGAGCCACAAGGTATGAATATTTAAATTTCAATAGACATTACCAAATAACCTTACAAAACTGCTGATAAAGTTTTAGCATATGAGAGTACCTGTTTGACCATTTCCTATCCCACAGTGGAGTGTTACCAGAAAACAGTCTTTATGAGCCACTTTAAATATTTAATACTTTCTCATTTTAGTTTGCATCTCATTTGATTATTAGATTAAGTATCTGCATATTGTTAGTCTTAATTTTTTATGTTTAGCATGAACTTCTTTTAGATAATTCATTTCCTTTTTGATTTGTATGTCTCTGAATATATTCTGGACATTAATCCCATGTCTATTATCAATCTTCCAAATATTTTATACAGTTTTTTAAACATTTGATTTTTATGCCTTGCATTAGATGTACACACATGTTTTTATTTTTAAATTAGCACACCTGGCTCCTAGATTTCATGTTCTGGCTAGAATACCTATCCCTGTTGTTAAAACAAACTCTTATACTCTTATATTTTGACCTAGTAATCTTTGGATTTTTGTTGTATTGCTGGTTTGTTTTATATTTTTCTGTTATTGTATTTAAATCTATCATCTACTTGGTATTTTAATTTGTGGTATGATGTTTATATTTTACTTTACTTACCAAATAGATAGCCTGTTGTCCTAATCCCTATTTATTCAGTAAATAAAATCCATTCTTTATGCATTCATTTAAGATATCTCTTTTATCTTATTTAATTTGTCTTTTACATACTATATAAGTTTCTGAGGGTTGGCATAGCAAATTAGCACATACTGCAAGGCTTAAAATAATTGAAATTTATTCTCTCAGTTTGAGAAGTCAAAAGTCTGATGTCAAAGTTTCCACAATACTACCTATCCCTGGAAGCTCCAAAGTAGGATCCTTCCTTGCCTATTCCAGCTTCTGGTGTGCCAGTAGCCTAAACATTGTTGTGTAGACATATCATTTCAATATCAATCTCAGCCATTACATGTAGCATGAATCTTAAAAGTTCTTATTATAGCATGAATCTTAAAAGTTCTTATTAATAAAAAACAAACCTGGAGCTAGGTATTAGGGTGAATGCTGGAAGATCAGAGAAGCAGAACAGGCCACAGCTAACCTCACCTTGCCAACTTCTCAGCTGATCCTGTTTCCTCAGTCTGGAAGCCTCTGAGTCCTCATCCAAATGAATCTCAGCTAAACTGCTATTCAAAAGCCTGAAAGCTTAACTAGCCTCTAGTTCCTCATCCTCACGCCTTAAATACCTTTCTGCTTTCTGCTATCAGTTCCTGGAATTAAAGGCTCACTTCCTGGGATTAAAGGTGTGAAGGTGTGAATCACCATGCCTGGCTGTTTCCAGTGTGGCTTTAAACTCACAGAGATCCGTATGGATCTCTGCCTCCCAAGTGATAGGATTAAAGGCGTGTGTGCCACCATTTTCTGGCCTCTATATCTAGTGCCTGTTCTGTTCTCTGACCCCAGATAAGTTTATTAGGGTACACAATATTTTGAGGAACATAATATCACCACAATTACATGACATTATTGCTGTCTGTGTCTCTGTCCAAAATTCCTTCCTCATAAGAATGCTGGCCATAGGAATTGGGGCTGTCTTATACAGTATAACCTAATTTATATTGCTTTTACAATGATACTACTTTAAAATATGGCCATATTCATAGGTAACAAAGCTTGAACTTGAACGTGTCTATTCGAAGGATACAATTCAACTACAAGTATTTTGGTCTACATACTTTTCCATCCGTTGTGTTTTTTACCATATTTTTAAGTATGTGCAAGTCAAGACCTTTTCTTTTTAAAAATTAAAGTCTTATGCATTTAATTTTCCAGTAATATTACATTTAGTTTGTCAGTTACTCCTAAAGAATGTATTGGGACTTTTTAATTAGAATTGTTTCAAGTTTATAGGCTAACATGATAAAAATTATTTTTAAAAATTTAGTCTTCAGATCTCAGCATATTCACTTATTTCAATATTCTTGTGTATCTTTTCTCAAATTTTATGGCTTCTTTTTGTTTGTTTGTTTTGTTTTTCAAGAAAGGGTTTTTTATGTAGTCTTGGCTGTCCTGGAACTAGCTCTGTAAACCAGATTGGCCTCAAACTCACAGAGATCCACCTGCCTCTGCCTCCTGAGTGCTGGGATTAAAGGTGTGTGCCACCACTACCTGACAATTTTATGGCTTTTTGCATACAGTTTTTATATACTTATTACTAAATGTATAAGTAAGATAATTTATGGGTTTTTTTTGTTTTGTTTTTTATTTGTTTGTTTTGGTGGGGTTTTTTGTTTGTTTGTTTGGTTGGTTTTGGTTTTTCAAGGCAAAGTTTCTCTTTGTAGCCCTGGCTGTCCTGGAACTCTTTATAGACCATGCTAGCCTTGAATTCACAGAGATCTGCCTACCTCTGCTTCCCAAGTGCTGGGATTAAAGGCATGTGCCACCACCACCCAGCAATTTATGGGTATTTATAATTCTTTTTATTGTTTTGTTTTTCCCCCTCTGAAACTAGTTGGGAACTTACTATGTAGCCTAGAATGGTCTCAAACTGGTAATTCTCTTGCCTCAGCTTCAAGTACTAATATTAGAAGGCTACCATACCTTGTTTCAATTTTTGTTACTGTAAATGGGATATTTTTTGTTATGTCTTCCATCGAGTTACTGCTAATATGTGTATATGTGTTTCTCTTCTTTGATAGAGGAGTGGCTTTGAGACAGGATTAAATGTAGCCCAGGCTGGCCTCAATCTCTCTGGGTAGCTAAGAATGTCCTTGAATTCCTGATCCTCTTGCCTTCACCTCCCAAGTTGTGGAATTATAGACATGCACCATCATGCCTGCCTAGTTATATGTTTCTATTGGCTTTTTTTAACATGTTGCAAAAGTTAATTTTTCATAAGTCAAACAAATAGTTATACTATATGAGTTATAGAGGAATGAGTTTATTTTACTCTTCTGCTTAAAGCCTCTCCATAGTTTTGTGCTTCCTTTAAATAAGAGCTAAACTCTGCAATATGACCTATAGTATCCTGTATAATAATAAACAAGGTCTTTCCCCACTTGTCTTCACATCCTCTCTGGCCACACTACTCTGTCTTCTACTCAGAGTCCACTCATTCAAATATGTCAGCTTCTCTTTTGCTTCTTCACTTCCACAGGTATTTCTTCTCCCATGGTTCTTAACTGCCCACCCCCTTCCATTTAACCTAATCATCTCTGAGGTTCAGGATTAGGTATCATTTTAGCTGAGGCATTTTCCTGACACAACTAACACATTGACTTCCATTTTTAGTTAAGCATTTTCCTTTGTCCAACCATAGTAATCTGCATATCTTAATGCAGATACCACACCAAATCCCATTATTTATTTACTTGTCCATATTCCCTGTTAAAGTGTAAACTTCATGAAGTAGTGGCCAAATATGGCTTATTCACTGTTTTATAGTACCCAATTGGTGTCAGTAAGTGTTTGTTAATTCTCTATATGCATGGATTAAATTTTATCTGTGCAGAAACCCATGATAAGCTAGAACTACCTTCAGATTTTGTCTAATTCCCACCTTTCTCAAACCATTTGAGGTATTTTACATCATGGTCTATAATGTATATTGACATGTAAACAGATACAGAAATCAGTATTAACATTGTTTTGCTTTGTGTGACAATTCTTTTAGAAGGAAAACCTCCACATTTTCTACTTTCTGTAGTCTAAAATGAAAGCATATAATGTCATA